GAACTAGATATGGACATTATGAATTTTTAGTAATACCATTTGGGATGACCAATGCACCTGCAGCTTTCATGGATCTTATGAATAGGGTGTTTAAACCATATCTGGATGACTTCATTGTTGTATTTATTGATGACTTTTGATTTATTCTAAAGGCAGGGAAGAACATGAGAACCATCTGAGAACCACCTTGCAAATTTTGAGAGAAAAGAAATTGTATGCTAAATTGTCCAAGTGTGAATTCAGGCTTGACAGTGTGGCATTTTTGGGACATGTGATCAACAAGGATGGAGTTTCTGTTGACCCTCAGAAAATTGAAGTTGTCGTGGATTGGCCTAGACCGACAAATGTGACAGGAGTCCGAAGTTTTCTAGGACTTGCAGGTTACTACCGGAGGTTTGTGAAAGACTTTTCCAAGCTTGCCATGCCATTGACTCAGTTAACTCAGAAAAATGTGCCAGTTGTCTGGAATGAACAAAGAGAGGCAGCTTTCCAAGAGTTGAAAACCAGGTTAGTGACTGCACCAATCTTAACCTTGCCTAATGGTACTGATGGGTTTCAAGTGTACAATGATGCTTCCTATAAAGGCTTGGGGTGTGTATTAATGCAAAATGGAAAGGTGATTGCCTATGCTTCTAGACAACTCCGACCTCATGAAAAGAATTACCCAACACACGATCTTGAGTTAGCAGCCGTGGTGTTTGCTTTGAAATATGGTGTCATTATTTGTATGGAGTAACTTGTGAGGTATATACAGACCATAAAAGTTTGAAATATTTCTTCACCCAAAAGGAATTGAACATCAAAAAGAGGCAATGGCTAGAACTAATCAAAGATTATGATTTGTAAATCTTAAATCATCCAGGAAAGGCTAATACCGTAGCAGATGCCTTGAGCCGAAAATCCGGTGCAAATCTGTCATGTCTGCTGTCCAACCGAAAGCATGGTCGATTGACCGAGAACAATGAGAGGGAGATTAATGATATAGAGTTGAGCCGGACAAATTTGGACCGGACAGAGTTATGCCGGACAGATTTGGGCCGGACAGAGTTGTGCCGGACAGATTTTGGCCGGACAGAGTTATGCCGGACAGATTTGGGCCGGACAGAGTTGTGCCGGACAGATTTGGACCGGACAGAGTTATGCCGGACAGATTTGGGCCGGACAGAGTTGTGCCGGACAGATTTTGGCCGGACAGAGTTATGCCGGACAGATTTGGGTCGGGCAAGTGTTGGGCTGAGGATGTGTGGCCCAGTTTGGAAAGAAGTTATTCGGTTAAGGCAACGCTTGGTTGGACCGAGCTACATGCTTGACGGAGGCGAAGCCAGTCAAGTTAAGTGACCGGCGCCCGGAAAGGCGTGGTCAGCCGAGGTACCTATTTGCTCGGCTTTGTCGAGATGTTGCCTAGCCCGGTCCTTATTAAGCTTAGCTAGTGGAGTGCTTGGATATGAAGCACAGCACGATTTTTGTGGACAAGATGGTGCAGCTCGGCTACCGAGCTCCCAATAGAGTAAGCGGGCAGTTGAGATTAGGTGACGCTCAGTAGGATTTATGCTGACAGATGGGATAGCAGAGCCACGTGTCGAGGGACCATTGGGAGTAGGTTTGGGACGCAGAAGGGTATATAAGTATGTCTGCGCCCCCCATACGAGGGAGACGAACACTTTGTAAGGAACTCCTACACTCAAACACACTCTCTCTCTCTCTCCTCTCCCTAAGGTGTGTGCTAATTAGATAGTTGGAGGTGTTTTCCGGTCACACACCGCCGGGTAGCTCACCCTCATTTTTCTTTCAGGTGATCGGACAGAAACAGAGCTT